AACCCACAAAGATATTTCAATTTCTCCAGAATATTAAATAAACATGCAGCAGCAGCTTCAGTGGAGCGCTGCCTGCCAGTGGGTTTTGGGTTGGATGGGTGGCGGTGCTGGTGGTGAAGGGGGAAGAGGGGGTTTGTGGCCGTGGCTCTGGGGGGGTGAGGCAGCTCATGGTCAGGGCCCCCGCCGGACACACTGGCGCCTCGCGCTGGAGGACTTCTGAACCACCACACTCCTCCACCAAAAACCCTGCCAACCCTGGCTTGCTGCTCCTGCTTCCAACCCAAATCACTCAGCTCTCTCTCCCTCTCTCTCTCTCTGCAATTTTACTCCCTCTCTCTCTCTCTCTCTCTCTCTCTCTGTCTATCTAACCATCTCCCTCTCGGCTTGTTCTCCTTTTCCAGTTGATCTACATCCAGATTCATTTGCTATTTGGCAGCCTTTTCTTTTCTCACTTACCGCTGTCTTTTTTTTCTAAGTGGCAGGTCTCTGATTGTGTTTTCTCTCCTTTTTTTTTTTTTCCTCCACAGGATTTTGTGTTTTCACATATCCACCACCTCTTTTCTGCACCGTCTCTGTATTAAATCCCTTCGCTTTAAATGTTCCACGGAAGTATTTAGTGGCTTCGAGTTAAAAAAAAAAAAGCAAACACAAATGGTTTTGGGCTGTATGTCAGTCAGAATTTCATCAAGATAGTAAGCGTTTTTAGAAGGAAAGAGCAGTTTTTGGGCTCGGTGGATATTTGTAGCGGTATTAGGTTATAATTGTTTTTCCAACCATCTTGAATTGACAGAGCGGCTCATCCTGTCGATTTGTAATACTCCTATTACAAGTCTCCTTAAGTGACCTAAAATGCCTCAAATAAAGCTTGTATCATTATAACTCAGCGTCGTTTGATGTTGCGTGATGAGAAATACTTGTAATCATTAAAGAGCACATGAAAAAGCCCTGAAATGTGGTCTTTCGGAAATAACCCAAACAGCACCTACTGCTGTGTGTATAATTGAATTATGGATGTCAAACATTTTGAGCTGAGTGGATGTGTCTTTACATGTCACACATGCAATTTTCTTAACTTAATTTTCCCCTGGAAGCAATTTGTCATCCGGAGGCCATTAAATGGGAAGCATATTATCTTTTTAAAGGGGCGCAGAGTCACCCACAACCCTCCCACAGTTCCTATAAACAAAATGGCCTCATTTAGCGCCGCGTTTGGTGCATCGGGCAGCGAGAGAGGACGCCCTTTACACTCTAGAGTTATTTCTGGGCTATAAACCGGCGGTTCCGATGTATAGCGACGGACACAAACAGAACTCTTGAAGCTCGATGATACTAAAGGGTCATTTTTGTTTTTTCTGATAAGTGAGCAGGTGATATCTTGATTCAGAGAGGAGCGATAGGAAGTTGTGCTGCAAGATATAAAGTTGTTGCATCAGCTGAGGCATGTTTTGTGCTGAGTCTCCTCCATCTTTTACAGTTTGATTGATATCTGCACTTTTGTAGCATGCTGCTGTTTCCTCTCTGTAAATGATGACTGAGAATGATAAGCGGAAACACAACAGACATCTGTAAAAATACGCCTGACCTTTTTACCTCTTGCCCTCTCTTATCTGCCGTCTTTTCCTCTTCATGGTCTTTTCTGATGCAGCCTGACCTCCTCTGCTCTTCAGGTCATGTTATGGTTCACTCAGGTCACTTTACCTTTCCCCTTTGCTAAAAAGCCTTATCTTGTTTTGACTTACAGCCCGACCTGCTGAGCCTCTGGGCGCGCTGACATTCTTTCCCCTCTCTCCTCCCTCCTCCCCTGCTCTTCCACAGTCACACCTGCAAACACCTGTGCTTTTGTCCCCCTTTATTCATCCCACAAAACCCCCCAAACTCCTCTGCCTGTGGCTATCTCTGAGCAGAGTCCATTGTTTTACTTGCCTATTCAGTCAGGAGGAGATAATAGCAGGAAGAGGAGATTCATTAGCATTCTTTTCAGCACGTCATGATGAGCTTTTCTCCCAGAAACCGGAGAGTCCCAGGAGAAATTCATTAAAGCAAAAGTTTATGTAACTCATCAAGTCTTATTACTTAACTAAACACTGCGTGAGTGACTGTTTTAAAATAGTTTCTCTCTGTTCGTCAGGCGGTTTGATGGCTTTAACAGGTGTCTGTGATCCTCTAACAAGCCTGAAACTGTAAACGGAGTACAGGGGCATGAGTGGGCAAACATGTGGAACCAATTTGTCCAGCTTCTTCTTCTTCCTCTGCCCCTGTGTGTCACTGCATGCATGTATATTTTTCCTTTTTTTTTATGAGCTTATTTGAAGCGACACTTAATGTTTCCTGGCCTTCAAAATAAAAGAAGTAAAAATAAAGTCACAGTTCCACCACCACCACCGGGGCTTAAAAAAGAGTAGAAAATAAGCAGTAGTGGCAGAGGTTTTTAAAAGCCACTGACCATCTTCTTAACCCCCCTCCTCCTCCTCCTCCCAGCCTCCTGACACACCCTGACCATACCCGTTCCCCCCTGTTTGCCTTTTATGTTGTGGACTCGACCGTGCGCCCACTTCAGACCACCATAAACATGTCGGCCCCTGATGACAGAGTCGGCCCCGGGACGTTTTATATAAATTGACCTCAACTACAGCTCATTAGATGCTCTAAATTGGAACCATGCAGCCTGGGAAGTGTAAATGTTAGGACAGGAGAACAGGAGCTTCAGGGGGGTTCAAGATGTGCAGGTCTTCAGTTCTCAGCGATGAAAATCCTCAATGTATGACAAATAATCAATCTTTTTTACTTTTACAGCTGCGTTGGAGAAACATTTAGACATTTGTGTAAGCGTCATTTGTGCACCTGAAGTATTAGCCATCACCTTTTTACCCCAATTTTGAACAAATCAAAACATTTCACTCCTTTAACCGTTCTCAATCTGGTGTTACTAGAAATCACATCTCTCTCAGGCTTCCTCCAGTCCTTCCTGTGGCTCTCTGACTTTAGTGCAGAGTCCACCCACCTCAAGTATTTTTATTAGTCTGCAGCACACCCTGAACGACCTGTAAGACACACAATTGCAACTTTAACCCTCGAATGCATGCGCAGAAAAGTCCTATGAAGTCTAAAATTGGAGATATTTAACAGACTGTAAAATACAGCGAGCTTCTCCACCGGTATCTCCGCATCACGTCTGTCGTCCTGCATCCCGCCTTAATTGGCCTCCTTTTGTTTGACCGCCTCCCTCGATAAACAATAAAACCGCAGCTCCCCTGTCCTAATCCCCTCTCCTCCTCCTCCTCCTCCTCCTCCTCTCCTCTGACTCTGCTGGAGCATCGCTCGCAGTAATTACCCCTCTCAAGCAGGAGAGCGGAGTAATTGTCTTGAGTGTAACTACAGTGGCTCTCTCAAAGGGGGTCATTGTGTGGAGTTAAGACCTCACTTCAGTGGCCGGCTTTGTTTGTGCTGCAAAAGATAATGAAAGTATTTGGTTGGCTACGGTGAGGTGGAAATATAGTAAGATATGAGAAGAATGACAGTGATTGAAAAGAGGAGGGGTGAAATTCATACTTTCAGAAACAGCAGCTTAAAAATTTAAAACAAAGTCAAACCAGGAAAGAAGATGCTTTTTATATTTTTTTACTTTAAAAGCACCAAAATTGTCATAAATTTAACACCATAACTTTTACAGAACAGTCACCTTTAAGAGGTTTTATCATTATGTACAGTATCTTAAACACTCATTTCACAATAAATCAATAATAACACGGTAGTTAAAGTCTACCATGAGCAACAAATCAAACTCTTCTTTATCTGTTTCTTCTTAAGGATGCATTAAAGAGATCTTTTCCGTGATGCAAAATACAGAAAAATACATAAAAAGGTAGAAAAATAACACACCTAACAATTTCTATAAACTGTAAATAGATAGTATGTACAAACAAGGAGAAGCCCTTACTTTTCCAGGTGTGGAAGCCTTCACAATGACAAGATTATATAGAAATAGTTTACACATCTAACTTTAAGATCTTAAATAAAGCTTTAAAAAAACATAACCTCAAAACTCCACATTAGAACTAATAAATAAGAAAAAAAAATCTTAATTTAATGCATTTTATTTTCATTTTGGCCAGCTTCAACTATCTTGCGTTTTTCCCCTCCAGGCCTTACACTTCCTTCAGGATGCAAGATAAACTTCCACGTGTATAATTTAAGACATAAATTAGATTATTTTTGTAAATATGAAATTAAATTAGACATTGTAAGAAGCAAAAACAGCAAACAAAAGTGAAAATGATAAATCTTTTACATCAGAGTGTCTTTGGCAACAAGAAGCAGTAAGAGAGACTGTCCGTTGATTGTCTCAGGAATAATGAATAAGTATCAAAGTACAGCTGTAAATCAGATTTTTCTGGAGGCATGCAATGCTCCATCAACTCCATCATCCCAACCATAAGTCTCCTTTTAAACCTACTTTCCTTCTGCGGCTTTGGAGCTCTTTTCCTGCTGCTTTTGCAGATTAAATTTCCCCAGTGGTTTGTCTCATTTGAAAGGCAGAAAAATGTGTGTAGAATAAATGTGTGCATGAGTGTGTTTATCTGGATGTATGTGCGCTGGCAAACTTTTGTGTGTTTGCCAGCATGCATAGATGCATTATGTATGATGGCACAGTTGTTCATAGTTATTTCTGTGCGCATGTCCGTGCACGTTTGTTTGCATGCACATCCCAGCTTTTTGGTTGGTTGCATTTTGTGTGCCTGCATACATTTGTGCTTTGGTGTGTGTTTGCACGTTTTTGCGTATGTGCGTGTGTGTGTGTGTGTGTGTGGTCCAGAGGAATTGAAGTGATTGCTACCTGCGACATGCTCAGTCATTTATTATATCAAGTCTTTTCAAACAAGGTCAGAGATTCTCAAAAAAACAAAATACTGTCCTTCTTAGTTTGAAAGGTGAAAGTGTGTCTGGAAAAAAACAAAAACAAAAAACAGCCCACCACGTATCAGAAAGTAAACTTAATGCTGTCAGATCTCCAACAGTCCACTGCTGTTCTCCACTCCATTAGGCGTGCCAGTCTTCTCGTCTCCGTTAGCGATTTGGTCAGCGACAGGATTGGTTTGGACAGCGCTGGTGTTGAGCTCTGTGTTCTCCTCACTCCGTGGATCCGCGTCGCCCTCCACAGATACAGCTTTCCCCTGCATGGCAGAATCCGCGTGGGTCTTCTGGTGCTTGGACAGGTGGTCGCTGCGTGTGAAACGCTTGTTGCACAGTAGACAGGTGAACTTCTTCTCCCTCGTGTGGGTGCGAACGTGCCTCTCCAGTTCGTCGGAGCGGGTGAAGCGTTTCCCACAGAACAGCCAGTTGCAAACGAAGGGCCGCTCGCCGGTGTGCCAGCGCAGATGGGCTTTCAGGTGAGAGGCCTTGTTGTAGACTTTTCCACAGCCTGGGATGTGGCAGCTGTGGACCGGCTTCTTTCTCAGGGAGGCGGCCGAGGCTCCCAGCCGCTCCAGCTCCTGGCAGTTGGGGCAGTCACATGAGGATCTGGTGGGTGCGCCTCCTCCGCTGTACCCCCCTGATCCCCTCGCAGGCTTTAGGCCCATGGGGCTCTCAATCAGGCCCCCGCTTGGCACGGGCTTGGGCTTGTACATGTCCTGGGGCAGCATGTGCTGTGAGGGCTGAAGGAGGTGTGAGGAGGAGCCCAGCCCCACAGAGGGGTACGGAGCTGGGTTTAGTGGTGTAAAGTCGGTGCTGTAGCTGGGCAGCTGGGGACTCAAAGAGGCTTGGGGTGCAACAGGCTGCAGGGACGCCTGCAGACCTCCGTCCGTCTGGGACTGGGTTGCTGACAGCCAGTTGGAGTTGGGATGGACATCCCACCAGGAGGATGTAGCGTTGGCAGGAGCTGCAGTGATACCAGGGTGAATACCAGCTTTATACCAGGAGCCGTATGGGTGCGTCATATCCAGTGAGGTGTAGACGCTGGTGAGGCAGTCGGCCGTAGCGTGGGCTTTGGACACTAAAAGAGACTGATCCTGGGAGACAGAGGTCTGGAAGGAGTGGGAGAAAGGGTTATACTCTGTAGTGTAGCCTCCGGCTGAAGGAGGGGGGCTTCCAGTCGGGGTAAGCAGCCCACCGCCTCCTCCTCCAGCTGTGGTAAAGGAGCCAGTGTAGGAGTCTGCCAGGCCACTGCCGTCTGCGGTTCGCCCATTCTTCGCTGTCTGCAGGTCAGAGGTCATGTTGTAGGGCTTCTTTACTGGAGTTGTGCTGCCGGTCTTACCGGGTGTCGCTGAATCCCTGACGGGGCTTGTGCTGCCAAACTTGTTACAGGTAGCAGTTAACATAGCCAGAGGACTGGAGCCATAGCGTGTGTCTTCCTGGGGAGGAGGAGGAGGAGACAGGGGAGAAAATGAGACTGTCTGTCTGCAGGAAATGGCTTCTTGCTGCTGCCGCTGCTTCTGTCAGTGTCAACTCTAATAAAAAACTTCTGTCTTGAGTGCCACCGCTGGCTTTTTCCTGCTCTCTAAGTTTTCAAAGTGGTCAGGCCAATTTCAGCCAGCGAATGTTTACTCTTGTGAAGGTTCTGCTCCGCTCAGCAAGAGAGGATTTCCCTGCTTTTTTGTTCCACTTTAACCACCGACAAGAGTTATTCTGAAGTTAGCATTTATGTAAACTCCACTCTTCTTTCTTCAGAGTACAGAAATATGTATACTGTTCAAATGTGTCATAAACATAAACCCTATTTCAGTTTTTCCAACTCTATGATATTTAGGATAAACTCAGGATTTACTGCATCTTAACAGTCCTTTATATTGTCTTTTAGAAAGCTTCCTAGATTCACAATCAACTTTTCTCTGCTTATCATCAGATTAAATGATGTATTTTTTGACAAATCACTTCTCCAAACTTTTAAAAACTTTTTCTTTTTTAGTCTTTAAAAAAATTTCTTTGCATAATCAAAACATTTTTACATGTCACTCTTTTTTCTTTTTTTTATATTGTAGGAAAGTGACACAACAACCCATCTCAACATAGATCTCCCTATCACTACCAGAAACCTTAAACGTTGATGTAACTAATGAAAAACTTCTACTGTGCTCTTCTAACTTCTATATACAACGTAAAAACATTTCTTATTATGCTTTAAATGGCTTGTTATCTAACATGATTTAACCACTATTCTTTTATTCCTGTGTAGAATTCACATCAATCTCAGCCTTTCATTTTAGGAGGAAATTGGGCCAAATATTATCAGTACTTTAAGACTCTCCTTTCACATTCACCCTCCATTCAGAAGTGATTAGTGGTTATCTCCTTCTCTAACAGCGAGCCCCTGGGGTCAGCCCATTTTTTAGGTCTATGCTTCATCACAGACTTATTACTCCGACAATGCCTGTCGGCCTCCGGGTCTGCCGCTGAAAACCTCACAGTTTCTTTCACCGATTGTTGGAAATCATTGCAGAAAGATTGAGATCTCTTAAAGGAAATGTAAATCTCAGACGTTAAGAGGAACAGAGCTGAAGATGTGAGGAGTAAAGTTTTCAAACTCTGTCAGCAGCTCAGACTGCAGTTGCTTTAATCCGCCAACACTGAAGACATCTCGAGATCTTTCTTTTTTTTTAAAGCACATTAAACTTACACAAATCTTTTAATGTTGTTTATCTATATTCAGTCATATTGTGGAGTAGTTTTCATTTCTTTACTCTCACTTAAAGCTGCCTGACTTCTGTATAAAACCAGCTTTCACATCATAAAAAGTTTAAGAGTTTTTTTTTTTTTAAAAGAGAAGAAAAAGAAAATCTACTTACAATTACATTCCCTACCTCCAGAATAGATGCGGCCATCCCTGAGAAACTAAATCCTAAGGAAGCTGAGGGGAGTGGGAGAAGCACAGCTCTGAGTCCCGGGACAGTTTGGGAGAAGTTGGGCTCTAACGCGGGGAAGTGTTTTGAGGCACGGGGAGCCCGCCCCCTAATTACAGGCTCTGGGCTCTTTGAAGACTTGCTAAGAGGCAATAAAAACCAAGCGATGGAGGAGAGTGGACAGAGATTGGTGGATAGGAAGAGGACATCCCACCTCCCCAAATGGAGAGTGTCGAATCATTTTTCAAGTCAAACGCATGAATGGGTTACTCATCAATCACCATGTGGACATTATTTCAGTTTCACTAGCATTATTTTTTCCACTGGGATTAGTCCAGTGGAGTCTGAGGGGAAAAGATTACAGCTAACATCATCTCAGTGAGAATTATCTCGCTGGATTCCTCCACATGGATCATGCTGTAAATTGTTTTCATGCTCTTTGACGCATTACTGTAGGAGAAGTGTAAATAAGAAGTGAAAAACCGACTAAAACCTCCTCCCCGGCTTCCTGTGAGAGAGGAAAAATAACAAAAGAACATGTAGCCTCGGCCCGCGACACATAAATCACAAAAATTAAGCTGAGCGAGTCTGTGGTTTCCATCTGAGATTTTATTATTCTGGTTTCAGCCCTCTCTCTGTTTCCAATATTCTTAAACGCAGTTAACTGCCTCTCAGACATTAAATGTGATGGTTACAGAGACTGAGCTCGAGAGACAAGGGAAGAGGAAAACGCTGGAGCCATTAAATAAAATAAAGAGGAGATTATCACATCAAATAAAATGAAGCCAAACAGCACATTCGTGAGGACGGGAAGACTCGCAGGGTTTGATTAAAAAAAGGGAGGAATAAGAAAGGAAAGGGTGAAAGAGTAAGAATGTAATAGTATAAACTCTTCCTGAGGAAATTTGCAAAGTATTTTTAGTTCCTCCGAATGAACGTTTTATTACTTTTTTTCAGAGGGAGAGGGAGAATGATAAATCCTGTAAGAGGAAGACATATTTGTGAGTCATTTTGCAAAAAGTTTTTCACAGAATCATAGAAGCAGCAAACATTTCCAACAACATTCAGCTGTTTCATTATAAAACTTTGAGTGAAGGAGTTTATCTCTCTTTGGATACAAATGATTGAACAAACCCATATTTACAGTTTTCAGACAGTGTTCCTGTTTTTTGTAGATGAGTTTTCAAGAAATTACTCTAAAAATACCAATTATTCATATGATCAGTGTAGAGATAGGAAAATACTGTACATGTTACATAAAAATATGGTCTTATAGATAGATGTAAGCTGCTTTTTTCATCTTAATGTAACACCATTTTCATATTAAATACATAAGCAAGAATAAAATACTGATACATCACTGTTTTAGTAGAGATTAAGTTGCGCTCAGTGTGCTTGTATTCAGAAAGTTTTGAGAAATTTTATGTAAAATGCTTAATTTTAACCGTACGAGATCTAAAAACTAAAAGTATTTCTTTTGTCGCTCCTGTTGAGACTTCAGTGTTTATCAAGAAGAGAGAAAACTCTGTAAAGAATTTCATTTGTTGATTGAAAAAAGACCGAACAACTTTCAGTCCTGAGTAAGACGGATTCTCAGCGCCTTTTTGTGGGCGTCTCGTTTTCTGAAGGAGAGCACAGAAGATTAAAATTGTTGTCAAAAATAAACATATAATTTCTGTCCTTATTTTCTCCTCAATTACAGGGCATGGTCAGAGCTGGGCTTGTCGTTCTGGAGAGTCTGGCCCTCACATGAACACAGCGGCTATATTTGGCAGTCTGCTCCCCGACTGACCTTCATCGCTTTATTTTCTTATTTCAGAGCGAGTGTGAGGAGAAGAACAAAGACTGCTGCTACATAGAGCACTTTACACACCTTCACTTACTCCTCCAGCACTATCTATCTATCTATCTATCTATCTATCTATCTATCTATCTATCTATCTATCTATCTATCTATCTATCTATCTATCTATCTATCTGTCTATCTGTCTATCTATATATCTATCTATCTCATTCTGCACCCTTTAAACACCAAATATATTACACTTTCTGAATCTTTTCTCTTATAGATGTGAAGAAATATATTCAAACACTGATTTTAAAAATAAAATTTTAACCTTAGTGAAGTTGACAACAAGTTACAACCTGATTTTAATTATTAAAAAAATTTATGGGAGCTGGAAAACTTACGTAAGCCTTTATTACAGTCAGCTTGGACTTGAGAGTGCAGAGGAACCGCCTAAAAGTGTAAACAAATATTGAATAAGTTCAACATGAAAAGGTTCAGCATTGACAAATTAAGTTTACACATCAGTGACCTCTTGTTGGTTCTGTTACGATTACTTTTTACTTATTGCTTGAATTAAGTTTTGAATGAAACACATGTACGTTTTACTTATATAGATTAACAATCAGCTAGTTTTACTTCTACTTCAATGAAATTACGTAAACGCAGCAGTAGGGATGGGCGATAAATTGTCGTTCGTGATATATCGTCAGAAAAATCCTCCATGATAAATATTTGCCATCTCATGATAAATACGATAAATGCAAGTTGATTAGGGTGACCATATATCCTCTGTTACCTGGACATGACCTCCTTTTGGGGGGCTGTCCAGGTTTGTCCGGGGAACTTTATCAAATCCTTCAATTGGCTGCGGTTTTGTACGACAGTTTTGAGTTTGAGTCACATGGTCTTACTGAGTTAGACGCGCCTAAAAGACACTCGAATCGACCCGAAAAACTCTCAAAATTTACTTCATGCGACTCCGTGACTCCGCCCCTGTGGTGTCGTGTCCTCTTTTTGGGAAGTCGGAATATGATCACCCTAAAGTTGATGACGTAAGTGCAAGTGACGGACTCGCAACCGTAGCCCACACAAAGCAGAATAACAACAAACATGGTCGAAGGTAATGAAGACGTTTTCTGAGCAGCTCGTTAATGAACGAGGCTCCACGTGAGGGATTTCATTCACGATTGGGGTTTAGATGAGTGCGATCAGGAATACCTGACATCGGACGGTGGATCTGCTGCTGTTCACTCTGCGCAATAAGAGTTTTCAACAAATATTGAAAATGTTTAATACTTGTTTGATGTCATTAGTTTTCTCCATAACCTACCACTCAAACTTTTGGTTAAGCATCTTATTTGACTACTCCAACTGAACGAATCTTTTGAACGAATCATTTTAATGAACGGATTCTAAAGATTCAGTACAGTCAAAGGAACTACTCTTCCTGTCCCTATGCAGCAGAAATTTCAGTCTTCCTCTGATAAAATAAAACAAAAATACAACTTCAAATAATGAACAACACCTTTTCTCTTTAGAGAATCAGTTGAATGGAGAGTGTTGTGAAGATTACTGAAGTTGGTTTGATATTCATGTAAGTTTCTACAACTTCTACCTTCACAGGCGTTGCATTAAGCAGACCCTCTTCACTGCTGCTCAGTTCCCCTGCGACGCTGGCATTGATCTTGTGATGTTAAGCCTCTAATAAATGATAGGCAAATATGAAAGACTCTTTTCTTATTTTCTTAACATTTCTGATCAGTTTGGCACACAGATGTCAACAATTTGTACAACATTAGCAACAAATATCAATCTGTCTGACTGTCCATCCATCTCTCTGTTAGATACTCATATTTTCATGCCAATATGCATTCATCCATCTTTTCTCTTTTCCAGTACCTTATTCCTCACAGACGTGTTGTGTGTGGCATTATTTTCACACTTTCTTTGGCATTTCCCTCCCCTCTCATTTGACACATGGCGCGTTTGGACTATAAGTCTTTTAATTGAACTGTTCCTCTCCTTCTTAGCGTTCATCGGGGCTTTATGTTTTACATTTAAGTGAAATGAGAGGGGAGCTAAACTGCGCCCATTTTTTCTGCGAAGTGGTCGCTTTTCCCCATCTTTTATGAGCGTTTTAGTAATCTAAAACTTTGGCGTGTTCCCATTTACAGTTCTCTTCAAAAGAGAACAAGTGGGATCTATAATTAGAGAATGCGTTAACAGCCTCTTCAAAAAGCTTTCTCTGGTGTATTTACTATTTTCTACTCTGTGTGGTTGTGATTTTTGGGTAGGTACAGTAGGCACTGAAGTCTTGATGAACCCCGGGGCTTTGGGTGGGCGCGATTATACTCCCCAGGGCTGATTATATGTTTGCCATGGATAGTTATTGTCCATATGACAGCGATCACATGTATTAGTAGCTTCAGTTTTTTGTGTTGTTTGCTAGCTCATTAGCCTGGGCCTTTCAGCACAGAACGACATTCATTACTCAACAGTTTAAAGTGTTCTCCTAAGGTTCGTCATTAGTGTTGTTTTCAGTGCTTTCTGATGGACTCAAGTCAAAGTTAACAGTTGATAACTTCCGTGTTGACAAGCAAGCATGTTGAATATTTTTATAGAGGAGGCAGCCCAGTCAAGTAAATCTCTCTATCCGTCCATCTCCTCTCTAAAGCCAATACAGAAGCAGCAGATGACTGTCTAACATGGGTCTGGTTCTGCTCAAGGTTTGCTTGAGTTGTTTGCTAAATGCTGTAAAGTTAAGGTGACCAGATTTCTGTAGTGAAATCCAGGGACATCCAGGAACATATTTCTGGAGTGTGGGGGCAGGGTGGCATCGGCTGCGTGATCACAGACATCATCTCAGTACTACTAAGTAGTTGCGCACACTTCCTTTATAAACTGTTGTTCAGGACTGCGCGCAACATGCTTACTTGCGCTTCCTACCTACTCGGGTACCCCAATAACCGATGTTCTAGTCTACATACAACATTTTTTTTCTCATTCACGAAACGCTTAAATCTGGGACATTTCCGGGGACAGCTTTAGCCGGGGACAGGTCATCCAAATCGGGATGTCTGGTCACCTTATATAAAGTGCCGCACTTGTGTAGATGAAGATGGGATCGGAGTGGGTCTGATCTTATGATGTGGGACTCAGTCTTTACATTGGATCTTTATAAATGTCATGAAGA